GGGGAGGGGAGGGGAAGGGAGAGGAGAGGAGAGGAGGGGAGGAAAGAGGAGAGGGGAGGGGAGGGGAGAGGAGAGGGGAGAGGAGCTCTCAGTACATTAATTTACTTACAATTTTTAAAGTAAGAATATTGCACAAAAGAAACATATAGCCTTCTGATGCTTTATTGAAAACTCTAATTTGAAGATGCCTTAAATCATTACGTATTTTCTGCAAAGACTGGCAGAAACTGCGTAACTCTCAGTTGGAACTGTTTTTTCCCATGCGGGACTGACTGCTCCCTATAAAATTGAAAGTTGGGAAAATCCAAAGCATATACCAGTAAAATTATCTAACTAGTATCTAGGAAAGAAATCAAAACTCACTCAGAGGAAATTTTAAAAGCAGAATAAACAACATACTAGAATATATGCTACCAGTAGTAACTCTATGTTTGCAAGGAGATGGCCTAGTTTTGTAACAGTCATTATCTAAGTAATCACTAATTAAGGGTTTTTTTTCCTTTCTAGTCTACCGAGACAGGTGATCAGTATTGCAGTCTGCTATTTTATTACTTTACACTGAAGGCTCTGGTAGTTGTATTTTAACATTTCAATTTAGTTTTGGTTGTACCAGCAAGTCAAGCAGGACTTAAAGAACAGCTTGACACATTGTGACATTTGAACTATTTAAGAGATTGGGCCTCCAGGGGAGCTGTTTTCTGAATTATTAGATCACCTTTTCATTTGGACTTCCATAATCTTGCAGTGGGAGGCTCCAGCATGTCGAGATGGGAGAAGTGATAGCACTAGAATGTAACTCTGACATATTTAGCACACTGAACAGCCTTGCAAGGACCTTGAATTATTAGAACAACCGAATAAAGGCTGTCACCTTCAGAAGTCCTGAAGCTCAAAGGAGCAAAAAAAGGAAGCGTAAGTTCCCTCCCACCCAATGCCCCTTCCTCAAAGTATGGACTGTTCATGATGATTTTAACAGTATTTTCATAACTGCATAAAATCCAAGGGTGCAATTTCATCTTAGGTCGGTATGCCCTAGTTTAACACTAGGCAGCTTAAATGTAGATGTGGTAACTTGAGCACTAGCCTGGGCCTAGTGCCAGAGTATCTGCCCAGAATCCTGGGCATGTTCTGCATCCTGGCAGTTTGGGTATCTGCAGCTCACGTGTAGTCGTGTCCTTACACTTCAGGTTTAGAATGCAGACAGCTTCAGGACTACAGAACTATTAGAGTGTCCATAGTGTGATCGAGGCCCAGCTTCTAAAAACAGATGCCCAGGGTAGTTTAACGATAGGAGAGACCAACAGTAATATTCACCAAGAGTGCATTTCCAGTCTTCAATTATTTACAACTGAACAATTTCCTGAATGAAATAATGTCTTGAAGATGAGTTCTAGACATGACAGTTCTCGGTGGCATCTCCCCTGCACTCATTAACTTCATCCTTGTCTAGCCTTCTTTGTATTATTGCTGTAGCTTTTGTGAATTGGGATAACTGGGATGCATCCAGCATTCAGGCTCTTCCAGGCTCTACAAAGGCTTGCTCTTTTTTCAGCACCTTTTGCCACCTCTATGGTATACAGTGGTCACTGAAGCTGATTCTAGTAAGGAGGCTGCTCTGACTCACATCTTATTCTGATGTGCTTTCATTCTCAAGGACTCACCATCTTCACGCTATTTCTAACTGATTTATGCTGAGAAGTGAGTTTTGACAAATAATGAGAGCAGTACAGTTAGTAGTAATTAGATTAAATGAAAATTCATCTATTAGTAAGAGGCACAGCAGATCAGGTAATGTGGAGGAGAAGGCAAAGGAAATAGTGACTCTAGATTGTGCTTTGGCAAAATGTTTTTCCTGTTTCCACATTTTCTTGTAATATTACCAGGCATGGAGCTACTAGGATGACTTGGGCTGGTTGTGATGACATAAAGTATCTTTGATGATCGGGCTGCATTGATGCTGAGATTTGCTTGTTCATTTATCTTCTCTGAAAGGGTCTGATTCATTGGAATCTTGTTTTGATGCACATTGTCCTTCACAGCTGAAAACACAAGAGTATGATTACAGTAACAATTTCTTAACAGGTGTAATTAGACTTTATTTTGTGCTTGTAAACAGACATGTGCTACTCTCTGGTTTACTTAGAGAACTCCAATAATCAAATTATGTCTGACAGCAGGAAAAGCCTGTACTTCACCAAGTTAGGGTTCTCAGAATTTTTCTGGAAGCTAATTGTTCATTATAACAGTAGGTACAACTCAAAAGACTAAAAAGTTTTCTCCTGATGACTTTTAATCTGAGTGGAATAGACTGGTGGAAAGAGCCAAGATGAACCAAGATGCAGATGGACTACTGTTTTTTTGTTTTGCTTCAGCTTTGTCATTTTCCAATCTGTTTTGAAAGGCAGGTATGTATAGGATTGAATTTTTGAAAATTTAAATTTTGGTCTTTATGACATAGCTGACTGGAGTGTTCCAAATTGAGAGAAATTTTAGCGAAGCTTTAACCCACTGAGCAGTGGCAACAAGATAGATTAAACATCTGTAGACATGAGAGTTAAAATATTTGCTCTTTTTTTGCCACTTCAGAAATCTTCTGCATGAATTAAATGCTTTAATGGCTCATTGAAAGGTAGAAATAGCAAAGTTAGCCTCTTACCTCTATATCTGATAGCAAATCCCTGGGCTTGATTGATTTCATCTGAGAAAAAGTACAAAATGACAAAATCCAAAGAGATGTTAAAGGTGTGGGGAGGCCGGTTCTTGCCATTAAAACGAGCTAGAACATGATAGGTATAGCCATCCAGCAATTCCACCATATCTGTAGCATCTTTGATTTCAAAAAGGGCAAAGCTGAAATGGATTCGAGATGCTCCTGGAACTTGTATGGTCCAGTAACAGACTTTGCCTGTGCCGTATGTGTCAGGAAAATCTGGGGAATAGATCACAGCTGTAGCAGAAGTGTAATTCCCTCCACAGGCACCAATAAGGGCTGTAAAAAGGAGAGGGAGAAAAATGAAAAAAGGAGGTTATACATTCATTATGAACAGCTTTAGCACTCTGTAGATTCTAATACTCAAATGTGACTTGAAAGTACAGACTTGCTACCCCAGCAGGATGCACTGTCTCTCAGATTGGTATTCTTTACCTTCCACAGCACTGGACGCACAGCTATCATGTTGCATTTGCTTGGGGTACACTCATTCTTGTCTCATTACTCTGAGACCTATGTATCAATCTTGAATACTGCAACTATCCTTTGTCCTTGTATGTAACCATGTACCCTTTCCCACATCCCTGCAGGAAAAGGATGAAAGCTCAATCACTGATTCAGGGACTTCTACTCCATCCCCAGGCAGGCAGGCAAGTGGATTAGTGACTGTAACTCTCACTGTTGAATTATTGACATTCCTTCACAGCCTTATCAAATTGAAAAAACAAATCTCCACAGAATAGCTGAGGCTGGAAGGGACTCCTGGAGATTGTCTAGTCCGATCCCCCTGCTCAAAGCAGGAGACATTGTCTAGTTGTGTTTTGAGTCTCCAAGGATGGAGACTCCACAACCTCTCTGGGCAACCTAAAAAAAAAAAAGCTTTTTCCTTATGTTTAAATGGATTTTCCTGTATTTCAATTTGTTCCTGTTGCCTCTTGTCTATTCACTAGGTAACACTGAGGAGAGTCTGGCTTCATCTTTACACTCTCCCATCAGTTATTCATGCAAATTGAAAAGATCTCCACTAAGCCTTCTTTTCTCAAGGCTAAACAATCCAAGATGTCTCAGCCTCTCCTTGTATGAATGATGCTGTAATCCCATAATGACCTTTCTGGCCATTTATATGTGCTTTTTAAGCATCCTGTCTTTTGATCTTGTCCAATTAATGTTTGACCTTACCTTCACTAAGTAACTTGAAAAAGATCCTGTTATGAAGTCTAAAGAAAATCTTTTAGATTTGTTGCTACCTTTTATATTCAAAACAAGTACACGCCCAGCAGATCTTTATATTCCTTCACAACTATCCAGATTCCCAGTGCAAACTTGTTTACCAATGAATCCAGAGAGAAACTCAAATGCCAGCCAACTGACTCAATGCATATCTAATATACACATACACAGTTTTTAAAATGTATTGTATATAGGTATATATGCATATATATGTATTTATATATATCTCCTAAATACACAATATTTTTTATATATATTATAT